AATGCCATAATTATATTCTCTTTTAATGCTGAGTAATATTCCATTGTGTATATATATACCACAGTTTCTTTATCCATTTGTCTATTGATGGGCATCTGGGTTGGTTCCACAGTTTAGCTATTGTGAATTCAGCTGCTATAAACATTGGCCTGGCTGTGTCACTAAGTGTGCTGATTTTAAGTCCTTTGAGTATGGACTGGGGAATGGGATAACTGGGTCAAATGGTGATTTCATTCCCAGTTTTCTGAGGAATCTCCACACTGCTTTCCAATATGCAGTCCCACCAGCAATCTTTGAGTGTACCTTTTCCCCCACATCCTCTCCAACACTTAATATTGCGTGTATTCTTGATAACTGCCATTCTGATTGGAGTGAGATGGAATCTTAGAGTAGTTTTGATTTGCATTTCTATAATTACTAAAGATGTTGAACACTTTTTCATATATTTGTTAATCACTTGTATATGTTCGTCTGCAAAGTGTCTGTTCAGTTCCTTAACCCATTTATTGGTTGGGTTGTTTGGTTTTTTTGGTATTAAGTTTTTTGAGTTCTTTATATAACCTGAAGATTAGTGTTCTCTCTGATGTGCATGTGGTAAAATTTTGCTCCCATCATGTAGGCTCTCTTCACCTCAGTGATTGTTTCTTTGCCTGAGAAGTAGCTTTTTAGTTTGAATCCATCCCATTTATTGATTCTTGATTTTAATTCTTGTACTTTAGGAGTCTTGTTAAGGAAGTCGGGGCCTAATCTGACATGATGAAGATTTGGGCCTATATTTTCTTCTATTAGGCATAAGGTCTCTGGTCTAATTTCTGGGTCCTTAGTCTTTTTTGAGTTGAGTTTTGTGCATGGTGAGAGATAGAGGTTTAATTTCATTTTGCTACATATGGATTTCCAGTTTTCTCAGCATCATTTGTTGAAATGGCTACCAATATAGATTTTTGGCACCCTTGTCTAGTATGAGATAACTGTATTTATGTGGGTTGGTCTCTGTGTCTTCTATTCTGTACCATTGGTCTACATGTCTATTTTGGTGCCAATAACATGCTGTTTTTGTTACTATTATTCTGTAACATAGTTTAAGATCTGGTATTGTGATGCCTCCTGCTTCACTTTTCTTGCTTAGGATTGCTTTGGCTATTCTGGGTCTGTTTTTCCGAATGATTTTCATGATTGCTTTTTCTAGTTCTATGAAGCATATCATTGGAATTTTAATAGGAAACTGACTGGCAGACCCTGGTTCCCAGGTGTGGAGAGGTACAGCTCTGCGAGGCCCTGTGGGCCCTTCTCCTGGGGATCCCATAGTTGCCGTGGACAGCTGCTTGTGGATGGAGGGTCGAGGACTTAAGTCGGACCTGGGGTGTTCACAGCACAGACACGAGGCCCCTCAAGCTCAAAAGAGGCAGCTTCCTCCACACTTGCCCCTGTGCTGGGCCAAAGCGTGAGGAGAACTTCCAACCTGAGGGTTCTTAGCTAATTCATTTCAGTTTGGCTTCAGTTTTGAAGAGTTGATTTTGTCCTTTAGGTTTTGGGGGGATTTTTTGTTTTTTTCTTCCAGTAGAAGATCCTGGCTCACCTTGGCAGGCTGCCCCACTTGAGAATTTAGAGTTGTGCTTACTAAGTCACTAACAGTAAGAGGACTCACACGTGTAGATAGGATTCAGACTTCAAAACCTATGGCCCCAGGCTAGAAGCTGGTGTGTGCTTTCTGTAGCCACTTTACCACCACCTTGTAGACCATCCACACTTTGGGGGAACCAAAGTCAGCTCTAGTGTGTTGACTTTGAGGGCCCTCTTGGTTCTTTTCTCTTGGTCCTGCAGCCCCAGGGAGTTGTGTGAGGCCAGCAGATGGCATGGACGGCAGCTTCTCTGGTGCAGCAACATCGAAGCAGGGGCCACAGACTGCAGTAGGGCAGGCCTGGGCATGTGCCCACTGCAGGGTAGGTGGCAGGTTATTCCCGAGGTGATCTTATGAAGGATGCAGCCAGCTTCATTCCATTCGCCTATCTGTGCCTATCATAGGTGCATAACCCCAAATATACCTGCTGTGCTTCCTGAAACAGCCACCCGCTTCTCCACCCAGTGGTCTCAGCGCTAGGAGGGGAAGGCCTCACTGAGAGGGCTGACTCAGGAGGGCAGGACCCCAGCAAGCATGGGCCCCAGGGCCTAGGATCCCAACCTGATGAACTGTTTCCTCTTGTTTTAATCCATGAATCCTCGTTCTTACTCACCTTAAGTGACTTAGATTTTCAAATGAATGAAAAAAACAGTCTGGGCCTTCCTCCTGTTTGCGAGGCCATGAATTCAGCTGCTGTCCTGAGAGGAGCAGTCCTGTTCAGCATGCCCGTGTGCACTTTCTGTCTGCCAATTTCATTTTAACATCTCCATGGCTGTCACACGCTAGTTCTCCAAAGAAACACTCTGTGTGTTGAGACCATCTTGGGATTTTAAACCGGCGTGTTAATGAGCTGATGCTGTGGGAACTAAGAAGTCTGTTGCAAATGACTGCCCTGGAAGCAATTAGATCTGCCCCAGCACAGCATCACAGAGTGTGGATGCCAGTCACCAAAGTTCTGGTTTCAGCAAGGTTGATTGGTGCTCCCTTCCTTGCCTCCTCTCCTCCAGCCCCTTGCTGAAGAGCAGGGTGGTCGACAGCGCAGTTCTAACAACCTTCTCATCCTGACGAGGCAACCTGGCCTGAAACTGGATTTGACCCCTCCCTCCTGTGCTGTTCTTCCTAGGAGGATAGAGGTCTCCACGTGTGCAGAATGGCCAAGGATCACAAATAAGTACAAAGAGACGCAGCCATGAGATGGGGAGAAGCCATCCTGGTAGAGAAAGATCTTTTTTATCTTGGCATCTGATACATTTTACAGGAGTTAGATGAACTTGATTTCAAATTCAAAAGGAATATTTAAATTAAATTTAAACTGGGGGAGAATGTCCTTACGTCTAAATCTTTATATTTTACCTCATCTCTGGTTGTGTGTCTGGGCACTTCCATTTGGGTAAAACACTTGCACCCGGGTCTTCCTATCTCTTGGTGGCCAGAATGGTAGGGGCTGTGGTTTGCGTTGCTGTGATTTATTTATTTATTTAGGTACTAGAGATTGAACCCAGGGGATCTTTACCACTAAGCTACATCCCAGTCCTTTTTATTTTTATTTTGAGACAGGGTCTCCTAAGTTGCTCAGGGTATCACTAAACTGCTAAGATTGGCCTCAAACTCCTAATCAGTCCTCTTCCCTCAGCCTCCTGAGTCACTGGGATCTCAGGCGTACACCACCATGCCTAGCTGCTGTGACTTTTTATGCCTAACCTGCCACCCCCCTGCAAAGAGAGCTCATCTGCCCTCCTCTGCCCAGTGCTTCCTTCTTCCCCAGTGGAACCAGGCAGGAGCAGCCCTGGCTCTGAGGTGCTGTCCCTGTTGAACCTGCCTGGAGAGCATGGTGGGCACCATTGTGGCCAGCAGTGGCAGAGGGCCTGTGAGGTACAGGGTCTCCACACCTCCAAGATTCTGGTGAGAGGTAGGAGGGAGAAGAGAAGGGCATTTCAGGGAAGCGGGATGTCCTAATCAGGTGCACTGCGGTCCCTGCAGAGCTTTCTCACTGCCCAGCTGTTTCCTGTCCGAGCATGGGGGAGGCAGATTGCAAACAAAGCCAAGGACCAGAACAGCCAGCAGAAGGGCTGTGCTGCCTCACTCTGTTGGACGATGGCTTCCTCTCATGCAAGGGTCTTGTGTGGGAGGGGAAGTGGGGGCGGGAGCCACCCTGCGTAGAGCCCTGGGCACCCCAGGAGGCACGGCGGTGGCTCTTCCTACTTTGGAGCAGCCTGTGTTCCCGAACCAGCAAGGAGGAAAATCGCCTTTACTGCTTATCATCAGTGCTGTAATGCCGGAAAGGGGCCTTCCCACCCCTTTAAACAAAACATTCTCTTGAGTCATCCTCACATTCTGGAGCAGAAGGCTGACTCTTCAGTAAAGGAAGTCACTCTTCTGCCTTTGGGCCATCCGAGACAGAGGAGCATAAGAAACTAACTTGAGAGCTGGTGGCTCCCATCGGTCCTCCCCCTTTTTCTTATGAAGTCACAAGCTGTAATCTGGTGCCTTTCCAGTGATCTTTCCTCCTTGGGAATCTAGAGTGTCAACTGGCCGAGTGTGTGGGTGACCTTGCCTCTTGTACACTTTGTGGGAAGGTGCACAGTGACCTGAACAGAGCAGCTCTTGCACAAACCCCGCAAGGGGCAGTGTGTGAAGCCCAGGCCTGCCTCACTGCCACCCAGCTTTCAGAGTGAGGTTCTGGTGAGATCTTCGTACCTGGGAGCACTCATTTCTGCCTTCTAAGAGAGGCCTTTGCTTGCCTGTTCACTTACTCCTTCCTCCAATAGCTCCACTGGAGCCAAAGCCAGCACTGGAATGTCCCTGAGCCCCCTTGTGCCTTGTGAGTGCCACTGCCCTAGACACTAAGCACATTCTGAAACAGAAAGTGGCGTGTCCTCAAGTGTGCCTCCAGCCATGGGACCTGGCCCAGTCCATAGGATGTATCAATCCACCTCGGAAACCCAACCTAAAGGTGCTCCTTGTTCTGCACCAAGTCATAAAAGTGTGTGAAATCATATGGAACGCTTCTGGAAACTGGAAAGACTGCCCCTTCTGTTCAGGGTTTACTGTCTTTAGAAACAATGTCTGGGTCCCTTGGGCCAAGTTTGTCAGAGACAGAACTGCAGACAGAACTAAGCTCCTGTCCCCCGCTGGCAGTGTGGCCTGGAGCAGGAGCATTCAAAACAGAGTTCGTATCTTGGGGCTAGAGCTGCAGAAACCGCATTGTTGTAGAAATTCTGTGGTTTTAATTTTAAAAATCACATGACTACTCTTTGTCTTTTTTACTTTGCTTTCCTGTCTGCACAGTGAAGTGTCCCTGCTGTTGCCTGTTTAGTCCTTTAATTTGCCAGTTGGGGTTCCTCCATTAAGACTGAGCTGCGAATGTTTTTCTCTGTGACAGGGTGAATCAGTGAAGTACTTCCTGGATAACCTGGACCGGATTGGCCAGCTGGTGAGTGACCACCCCGCAGGACTCTGCAGCCCAAAGCAAGCAACAAGGGCCCTGGCTATGCTGATGGGCCCGCTCGTCCTGCCTGGGTCCTGTGACAGCACGTAATGTCATGCTCTAGCATAGATCTGTCCTATATAGAAAGACTCTAAAAATCATCACGATACCATTGTACTCCCGAAAAATTAGCAAGGATCCCTGTTGGCCAGTCTCCAGTCAGCCCTGAGATTTTCTCAGTCATCTCCTTAAGGTTTTCTTTTTTTAATAGTTTGAATCAACATCCTAATATTATCCACCATCCCAATCAGTTGATGTGATTAAATTTCTTTTAATCTATAGGTTTCTTCTCCCATCTTTTTTTTTTTTTTTCTTTTTGATTTACTGGCTGAACTAACTGATCATCCATCCTGTAGTGTCTTAGTCTGGACTTCTCTGTCCCATCCCCCGTGTGGTTAATGATGCCTCCATCCCCTGTGAACTGTAGTTAGCCTCCAGGTCCAGGCCTGTTCACTTTCTGCCTAGTCCTGGGCTAGCTGTGTGGGTGGCAGTGTGCCCAAGTCACTGAAGGGCTTGTCACAGTGCAGGACCACAGTGGTTTAAGTAGCCACATTGTCTGTGGTGCCGAAGACTTCCAAGGGCTGGGTGTGGTTCAGTGGGACAGCACAGGCTTAGCATGTGCACAGCCTGGATTCCATCCCATCACCCAAAACAAAGGTTTTCAAGAAGAACACATCACATACACATCTGATTTCATTTCATAAATGCTATTGTAAAACCTAAATTAAATTAATTCATAGTAAGGTTTTAGAACTTTTATACTCTGGAATTTAAAAATATAAAAGATATCTATGATACAGGGGGGGAAAAAAAAGATAGTTTCCTCTGGAGAAGAAACTGGATGAGATTTTTCCCCCGGGGCCTGGCAGTAGGAGTTCTGATCATTCCTCCTCAGATTGATGAGACCCCATTCATTCTGAAATGAGGCATTTGATTCTTTCACCTTGTTGCACAGTAAGTTCATAACTCTGTAAATGAAACTTGCTTCTGATATTTGGCTAAACTTCTTACAAAGTCCACGTAACTTTCTCTCCTTTTCCTTTTGCTGTGTTTTTGTTGTTATTTTCTCCTAAATGTCTCCCTCATCCTGTATTTTGCAGAACTACTTCCCTAGTAAGCAAGACATCTTGCTGGCCAGGAAGGCCACCAAGGGGATTGTGGAACATGACTTCGTTATTAAAAAAATCCCTTTTAAGATGGTGGATGTGGGTGGCCAGCGGTCCCAGCGCCAAAAGTGGTTCCAGTGCTTTGATGGGATCACATCAATCCTGTTCATGGTGTCCTCTAGCGAATACGACCAGGTCCTCATGGAGGACAGGCGCACCAACCGGCTGGTGGAGTCCATGAACATCTTTGAGACCATCGTCAACAACAAGCTCTTCTTCAATGTCTCCATAATTCTTTTCCTCAATAAGATGGACCTCCTGGTGGAGAAGGTGAAGACAGTCAGCATCAAGAAGCACTTCCCAGATTTCAAGGGTGACCCTCACCGACTGGAGGATGTCCAGCGCTACCTGGTCCAGTGTTTTGACAGAAAGAGACGGAACCGCAGCAAGCCTCTGTTCCACCACTTCACCACTGCCATAGACACCGAGAACATCCGCTTCGTGTTCCATGCTGTGAAA